ATAATCAAGATGCATTTGCAAGCGAATCATTGAATCATATTCGGAATTATCAATCATATCGTATGCTTCATCCTATGACATCTACCAATAACAATCACGGACGGATCAGAGTTATTTTTCGATTGGTTCTGAGAAATATCATACTTTTGACGCTAGATACGGGCCGGTTTGATGATCTATGAAGGTGGTTTAGATCACTTGAACTGGTTTCGTGATTGCCTAATAATACAGTCTCACGGGATGCATGCTTAAACATACAGTTAGAAACGTACCTAACTAGATGGATATGGAGGGTTCATAGAAAGCTTTCAATCACTCAAATGATCAAATTACTCAAGCATCGATCACCTATACTCATGGATCAACTGCGACGAGAAATTAAGTCTTTTTTAGGGCCAATAAAGTCTCTTTTGAGAAAAGTTGATAGCGTAGGAAAAAAATCGAGCTAAGAACTGGTAACCAGGAGTGCGATGAAAAGCACAAGAGATTCAAGTTTTATGTTTTGAAGCTGATTTGTTGTTGTTAGTGGGCGGGATTTGCCACCCACGAAGCTGATCGGTTTCATATCGATTTTGATCGGCTTGATCATGGTAGTGATATCCCCACACATCCATCCATCCAAAGCCTCCCTCCTATTCGTGATATATACTCCTCATCCATCCATACATACAACGTCTTCCCTTGCCTATCACCTAATGCTTACCACAACTATCATCCCTTTTACTACGTATATGAACAAGGAACATCCATTCCAACAATTCCGTTGATTCATCACAATGATTGATTGACTGATTGAAATGACCCATTCGCCATCTTCAAATGAACACTAAATTGCATTTTACACCTTTAGTTCAATTGAACGAACGCATAAGGAAGCAACTAAATCTCATTTTGACTTCATTACTATTGCTCATCAGGGTTGATCATTGCAGTAATTTTATTACTCTCATTAGTAATACTCTTGCACATTAACCTCACATACTATATCATAAGTGATCAATCCCATTTCAATATTACACCATTCCCGAAAACGCATTGCCACAACGACTGATCCAATTCTCCGGAACGTTCACAGAATCAGAATTTTTGCTCGCCCGAAAATCGCCTCTCCGAATCATCCTCCTCTGCGATAGCGTTCAAATATTTCACTGCCGCATCGGACATACCCAAGCATTCTAGCATTGCTAGCATATGAGCTGAAACCGATTAAAATGATTAGGTACTTGCCATTATCAGGCGATACTGATAACGAGTGCAATGCATCAATGAGATATTACAAACTGATAATAAATGATAACTCTCAGTCTCAAGAGAGCAATAACGTCTACATCAATAAGATATCTATCCATTCATGTCGCCCAATATGAATGAAGATATTTTGGAGATACTTTCGCGTGGACAGTACAAAACGAAACCACTTCACACTAAAGAAGGTGTATGTGCGATTTTCGCATGTTCTTCGGATGACTTTATACACATTATTCTATGGTGAATTTCTTTTTTCACATAATGAAATATGATGATTATGATCTAATTTCGCTCAAGATCGATGCGAACAGAAGATGCGTCATTGATCAGACGTGAACTGATCACAATAGATTGCTACAGAATGCTTTTCTTATTCTTCTGAGAACTTACATGGAAGTGGTGCGTTAGCCACCAAATCAACACGATCGTTGTTCGCTTGTGAGTACTCATATCGCGGAAAGATACTTCGACATACATGCCAAAATAATGGCAGTTTAGAGTAAGCATCCGCTTGGCTGATATTCAATCGTTGTAGAAGTGACGATATGTTCGCATGAAATCGAAACGAATTCAGCTAGGATTTTCTTGATATATTCGCTCAAACAATGTGAGGCGATCAAATTCAGCGAATTGTATGCAAAAAAGAACAGCTATGATTAACTGAAATGAATTTTCCGCCAATAATCTTCACAATTGTCTTGAGAAATAAGTTCCGATGTTCAATCTGAGCAACATTCTGTACTACTTGGTTTCAAGTGTCTTTCAGCGTTAGTCAAAGCGTTTCAAATGATCAAATAAACAAATATGTTAACTAAAAAAAACGAACTGGATGCTTTTTAGCACGATACAGTTGACTCGGTTGAATCAAATTTGGCACGCCGCTGATGTCCACAATTCGTTGCATATATAAAGCATCACCCAAAATTGGACAAAGCAACTCGGTGAGCATTAAACGTGGTAAATGACGACTGACTGAAATATTATCGCATGAACTGTTACTTTCTAAAGTGAATTTTATTGCTTAAGATTGCCGCAAAAACGAACGAATTGCTCAACGAATATACATTTGGAAAAAGAAATATCCACAAGAGAACACCCGTATTT